TTGCTAGTTTCACACTCTCACTGTTTTATCCATATTTATTCCTTGAAAATAAGTCCTATTCCCATTTCATTCTAGCTAGGCTTTTTCCTTATCTTCAGAAATTCCTTTCATCCTCATACTCAAATTCTTATTTGGTTCTTCTTTTAACACAATTCTTTCCTGTCTTCTTTTAACACATTTCTTTCCTGTATCTATTACCATGCCACTTGCAGTACTTTTCTTTCCACCATGTYACTCTTTCTTGCTGTTTCATGCAAGCTGAAAAAGCAACCTTATATACTTTGTCACTGGCTTTCCAATGTGAAATGCCCATAGTATGKCTGGGTTTTTTCAGACTGCAAATTTCAACATGACTCTATATACTGCAGCGGGGTGAGGACACTGACAGAACTCAATAGTGATGCCAATAGTTTTAGTCTTCCCATTCAAGGTGGAATATATCTTTGCAGTTGACTGTTCCTATTGTGTAATTTTTCTATGATCTTTCAATTCTCTTAAGGTTTCTCCAGTATCTTTTCAAGCAGTCCTTCAAGACAGCTGATTTTGAAGGCAATGAAAAGGTGTTAAAGTTCATATAGGTAGAACTGTGTATGATAGTGTCCTCTTGAAAAAGAAAAAATAAGCTGAAAGAATAAAGGGATGACTACATGATAGATAAAGAACTGGGTTAAAGAGAGAAAGAAAAGGCAGTAAAATGGAGGTGCCAGGTTGAAGGTAGCTTGCTGAYAGTGTTTCTCAGTGGATGATTTTTGCTGTGCTTCCACTTTTTTMCTAATGGCATTGACTGTATCAGGTGTGTGTGAGGAAAATTGTTGAAAGCAGGAAGAATAGTGTTACTAGAATAAAGAACTGATATGTCACACAAAAAGAACAGATTGACCTTGATGAGTAGAATGGTAGCTGTGTGCTGAAATTCAGCAGCTCAAAATTTCATAATAATAAAAATAGGCAATACAACAAATTTTGACAGGAAATTAGAATAGACAATTATGCCTCAATCAGTATTAAAACCAGCTTTTCTATAAAATGGGTGTTTGCTTTGGTTCTCAAATTATTTATGAAAAGTGTTTTCTAATACAATGCCGGCAAAGAAAAAAAAGGAAAATTAATTTTATTACTGCAATTCAATCCAGTGATTTAGTGATTTATATTCACATAAATAGGTTATGTCTCAATAGAAACATGACTCTGCAGAAAAAAACAGGATGGGTACACTTCCTAAATGAAGAAATTAGTTGGCGTTTAAATGATGTGTCCAAGTCATGCAGTTTAGACTACTAACACTGTTGGCCAAATCCTCAGCTGATTATAAATCATCACTGAACTTAACAAGCTGTCACATATCAGTCTGGCTGTAAACTTTGAACTTTGCTACTTCTGTGTGCAAAGTAAGTAGAGCTTTATCCTTGTAGAATGTAGGTTGGAATGGATGAGAGGGAAAGGGATTTGCACTGGATGTCAAAGTGCCTTGGGTAGTAMTGCCTTCAGAGCAGCACTGTGACACCGTGTGTAACAAAGTGCTTCCAGGTCTCAGTATAGAAACAGATACAGATTGTTTTATATTTTGTTCTGTGAGCTGAACTGGRCCTTTTACTCTCAGCCACATGATAAGGAAAATAAACCAAGTACTCTTCACTCATGCTTAAGAGGTCTTTCCCTACTATTCTAAACAAAAATAGATTATTGACTGCAAACTGAAGGTTGTATGCCTTCTTTTTCATACTTTGCAGACAGCAGATTAGGGACTGCTGTGAAARCATGACCTCCCTTTCATATGGTTAAAACCTCAGTCATTCCTTGTTCAGTGCTTCCCTTTAGCACTGTAGTTTTCATCCCAGCATTTTCTTATTCAACACCAAGCTAAGGCAGCAAAAGAAATTTGCCGGTGGCTTTTTTTCCTATGAATGATTGTACCTCTACAAAATATATCAGCTGTGAGTTTTAAWTAGGATATACCTCTACAAGTGCATTTAAAGTTAAAGAAAAATCTACTTTCTTTGTAAGGCATGAAGTACATGGTCAGCTTGCAAGATTGAACTTCCCTCTTTCCATGTTTTTGAAAACAGACAAGTTCAGCCATGAATGCACTCAGTATGTTTGGACCACAGCAAAGTAAAATGTGAGTACCATAAGGACATGCTTGGAAGATTGTACTATGGAAATTTGGATGTGTTCTAAGAAAATGTTTGCCTAATTTAATAGTACAGAATTATTTTTCAAGAATTTGGATGAGAAAAACAGACTGCTTGAATTTAGATGTTGTTAGGTAAAAGAAGTTAGAATGATTCCCAAAATAGTCCCAAAAGAACAGCAAAAAAATAGTGAAATGGAGACAAATGCAAGTTTACCATAGTAAGTTTTTTTTTAGGCTATGACTTTTTGTATCTGGAGCATGATTCCACTATAAACTAGAATAGAAGGCAACAGAGACAGGTGCAGTGAAACAAACTGGGACAGAGAGACTCAAAAGGCAATAAAACACCAGTACACTGCTGAAAAAGAATGAACCAGTTTTATTAAGGAAAGAAACTAAGAAAGTTGTGTATTCAGGCAAATTTGAATAGTGGCTAGGAGTCTCTGTAAATCTTTACTTTTATTCACTTGATACTCTAAAATTCCAGCCCAATGTCACTGACTTCAGTTTTTCACTATCCATAAAACTGAACAGCCATAGGGAATCACATCTCATWACTAATAATGGATTTCTTGCAGCTTCCTCTGAAACACTTGGACATATACATTGTCACAGGATACAACTACAGATGCAGGACTTACCCAGTCAAATCCTGCAAATGTTATTTCAATAAAAATAGATTTGTTGCATGAATTTCTTATGGACAATGTTGCCTGTCCTTGCCACCTTCCTTTAGAGTATGTACACAACCACTTGAGGTGTTGTGTGTGCTTAGTTAAACTAGAGAAAATTTGTTACCAAAAATATTTTAGTGTTGAGTCTTTTTCACTGCTGCTACTGAAGATTGCCACAAAAGGATTATCCAGCTGTACTCGGGAGCAGATATAGGTATGACAATTATGAAGCAACCTCAGCCTTTTTTCTGAGCTGCCCCATCTGCCATGGTAAAAATTAAGAGTCACACCAAAAAAAACAAAAAATGAGCTGCCCCATCTGCCATGGTAAAAATTAAGAGTCACACCAAAAAAAACAAAAAACAAAAAAAAAAAAACAAAAAACCATTCTAAGGAAATGTTAAGGAAAATGTTAATGGAGATTACACACACAAGTTTTTCCATGACTTTATTTCTTTCAGAATAGCTTGCTCTAGTCTTCAGAAGGGGGACATAGTTCTTTCTGAGCTGCATGCAACACTGTGTATGCACTAAAATTATCTGGACAGAACACACTCATTGGATCAGCTTGACACATTTAGTCTGTGATCTCTGGAGAAGAAAACCCTTGCCACTAGATCTTGCTCAGAAAAGCCACCCTAATATTGAAGGAAACAAGTTTAGGAGCAGTGCCAGCTAAAAAATTCCCATCAAATGTAGGCTGCTTTTTATTGGGAATGAGTTGGGGGAAGAGGTTTCAGGTGTGAAATTAGATTTTAATGGAATATCTTTTTCTACATTCTTTGAAGAACTATATAATTGATTAACCACGACACCAAGAATTTAAAATCCAAATACCTTCGGGTGAAAACCCACCACTTTTTGGCACTAGACTTCTTTTTCATATTCCCAGCAAAGTCAATTTTTAAAATAATTTTTGTCAATAGGATTCCCCTTTATCTTCCCATTTTCTTCAACATTCTGTATGTGTATCCACACTCCTTTACTTTTTGAGCGACTTTACTCAAAAATGCAGACTGTCTCTGATGCTACCATAATTGATYTGCATGAACTTGAGCAGGTTCCTCAGTATTCTTTTAAAATAGTTCTTTACCTACAGAATAGGGACACATTTTTTAGTCACCAGTGTGCCTGTTGTGAGGTTACTGATCCAAAGTTAAATAATGGGTAGCTCTGAGTTGAGATTCCTCACTATCACTCAAACACACACATTATAGATGTGTGTTCCATCACTGCCAACAATGACTGCATCTGTTTAACTTTAAAATATCACAAAGGAGATATTTTTATTTCCTGGCCAAGTGGAATGGARCAACTTATGTCCACGTAGTTTAGTTCCATCTGTGCATAATAGGAGTGGACACATGCATGGTAAGTATTATTCAGAGATATCAGAAATTTAATTTGGATCTCATGGACCTATCTGCCTTCTTCCTCCTMTACAGAAACAGTTTAAGTTTCTGGAACTGCTCTTCAAATCCCTGGTTCCGTTATCAATTCCTTGCATTGCTGTATGGTGTCTGGAAGAGCACAAGCTCTAAAAATTCAAATGAGCAGTATGTGGGAAACATGAACTGCTGTAGCTAAACTGTACTAGAACTAAGTCAAATACACTAAAAGAGAGACAATTTGGAATGCCAYTGCCCTTGGCACAAAAACCTTTCCCTTCTTGATACTGACCATGCCCCTTAGGATGAAATTCCAGAAACTGCTCCCCTATGCCAGCGCATCAGAAACCTTCCACTTCTCCTCAGAAAGATGCAAGGGATCCCCRCCCTATTCAAGAGCACCTGCTGCCTCTCTTCAGCAGAAATTACATATCCAAAAGTTTCAAGTTCACAAACACTTTCCCAGGCATATTTTTAGTATGCCGAAAGGATCAGTTTTTCAGGTGATGTGGATTTGGAAGGCTCAGTAAAAAAGGCAATTTGTGACAAAYGGTGCATTCCCAGCTAAGGGTCAATAAATAGTTGCCGACATGGAAGAAACAAGGAAAATACCTGGCAGCCTTGTAACCCCTAAGAAAAGAGGAGCAGGAGTGGGTATTGGGAAAGCATGTCTTAATTGTGCTTCATAAATTCTAGCACTTAATAAAAGCCACAGAATGATGTATAACTTTTACAGAAAGAAAGAAGCGGGGCACATTTCCCATTTTTACATGCCAATGGCCAATCGGTCCCAGGTAGACTCACCTGCTAATCTCATGCCCATGGTGATGGTGAGCAGCACAAACACATACACCGTCTTCCCAGCAATCTTCATGCTGGTTCCTGCTTTCATGGCTCAGGCAGCTCCRTCACTCCATCCATCCCTCCRCCAGCTTAACTGTGSTCATGGGGATCATTTCTTGCTGCCAGTACATCCTCAGCAGCCAGTGTCAGTTTTTCCTCTCCCTCTTTCCCACGCCTCTCCTTTAACTTTGCGTGTTCCTGATCAACTGGCTCCTCAGAGCTGGAGAGGTTCCTACTTGTGACTTTTCAGAGCACTTCAGAGCTTCCTGTGCTGAGAACCAGGCAAACGCTGAGGAAACAGGCTGAACAATTCTGCCTTCCGTTCATTGGCTCTCCTTAGGAGGCTGATGAGTGAAGATAAACCCTGCAGCAGAGTTCAGAGAGAGCAAAAGCAGAGGAGATTATTCAATGCTGAGTTTAATATCAAAAAGGAAATGTTAGTCTTGGGAAACTAGAGAGAAACTCATCCTTCATGTTTCTCATGGTTTTAATTCTGCTAYTTCTTTATCATGTGTTTGGTGCTACCTCCAAGAAAATTCTTAATTCTTCCTCATGTCTTCCTCAAAAAAAAACAAACTTAAATATTCTCTCTAAGTGACATTTTCAATAATTCTCTCTTAAGTACCTGCTTAGTAAATGGAATTCTACTTCTCATATTAATACACAACCTTGTGTGAACTTCTAAGTTCAGATCTTGTGAACTCTTAAAATCTGTACAAAAGCCAAAAACTGAGCTTTTTTTTTTTTAACAACAGAAATCATATTTTTCTGATTACTAAAAGAAAAAAAATACACTATTACGTGTAGGTTTCCCATGGGCTCACAGCCTGCTCTCAGGCATCCACCCACCACAGTGTGGGTCTGCTCCATGGGCTGCAGGTGGATCTCTGCTCCACTGTGGATCTTCAAGAGCTGCAGAGGGACATCCTGTGTTACCCTGATCTGCACACGGGTGCAGGGGAATCTTTGTTCCAGCACCTGGAGCACTTCCTGCCCCTCCTTCACTGACCTTGGTGTCTGSAGAGCTGTTTCTTTCMCATATTCTCACTCCTTTTGCCAGGTGAAGTCGCTGGGGTCTTTCCCCTCTGCTTAAATCTGTTATCCCAGAGGATGGGCTTTCCAGTGAGCTGCAGTGGAGAAGTTTGCACACTGAAATTTCATCAAAGAGCATCACGAATTTTATGGGTACTAGAAGCTGTAAAGAAATGGAACACTCYTAGTGCACAGAGACTTGTTTTAGAAGTTTTATAACGTTCCTTCCTTTGACAATTTTTTTCTTCAAGTCCCTTGGTTTCTGAACCAGCAAAGATGGAGGTACTTTACAGAGAAGGGAGGAACCAGTCTGTGTGTGGTGAGAGTAAAGAGATAGGATGCATAATGTTGGTACCATGGGGAAGGTGYTGAGCAATGTGTGAATACAAACAGGACAGACAGGACAGACAGGAATTTTGTGTAGATCAGAAGGATTTGGGTACTGCATGTGTGTGTGTATTATGCCGGTCCCATACAGGGTGAATTAAGAGATTCAGAGTCTTGTGGCTCATTCTGCTACTGGCAACATAATAATTTTAMTGAAAATCTCCACAGGAAAATACTGTTTTTGAACAAGAAACTGGGGTTTGCTTTGAGGAAAAGCTACCTGAAAAATCAAAGGTTAAATCAGTATTTTGACAGTAAGTAATGATTTTTTTCATTTAGCATTTTCTTAAGATGCTTTTCTCTTTTCCTTGTTTATGAATAAAAAAATACAAAACACAAAATGGAAACAACAGTTATTGTGGATAAGGACAGGTAAGTCTTGCAATCAGGATGGAGAAGACTTGCCTTTGTTCAGAAGTGAAGGGTGAAGCTGTTTCAGAAAGAAAGTCTATTTTAAGTACTTCTCATCTGAAATAATACAGAAATTGAATGTCGCCCACATCTTTCACTGAAAAACATGTTTGGGGGTTGTTTTTTTCAGAATACTCTTGTGTGGGCTGTTTTAAAATAATGCTGTATCAGTTTCTCCACTTCCTTACTGATATAGTAATTTTAAATTCAGGGTTCCCTCTTTCTTAACCCACAGCATTTCCCCAGTGGGAACTCTGTGGGTCAGTGGTAGAGAAAAGGCCTCAGCTATTGAAAGCTACAAGTCAGAATAATTAGCAGTGAGGACAGGCATAGGAGGAAAAGACAGAAAACAAATGAAAGTTGGCAGGAAATGGACTGYTCAGGCACTAGGACTGCACACCATGTTTGCACTCCACTGATGACTGCAGTCTCATGTTCTGGTAATTTTGTTTGATCAGACTGGTGTGMCAAAATGGTCTGCATTGATGTTCACTGGAACAGAGGAGTGTGAATTGAAGTCTCATGTAAATAAACAAAGAAAGACTGATGATGATCATACAGAGAAAATAACGCAAGACACAAATTCATCTGGAGCACCTTGGTTCCAGGCTCATCTCACTGACTACAGCTTTTTGTGGGAGGGTCTTATGTATATTTTTGTCCACTTGATTTTTTAAATTCAATATAGGATTTTGGCACTCCACCGATCTGGGGTTTTCAATGTAGTATTCACAGTTACACTGGTTTATATTCTAGGTATTTACCACTGACCTTAGAATTACTAATGCATGTGAATAGATATTATCTCTGTATTTTAGACAAGGGCATGGAGAGGAAGAAGATATGTTTATGTAAGTAAAGACAAGAAACAAGGTGGGAGAGAGAAACAGGCAAAATGTAAGCAGTGTCAGACTTCATATGTAAAACAAGTGGTGCTCAAATCTGATGCAAAGACAGGATATTAAGATGTAGTAAATGTRCAGGCATGTAGTGTACTGGATGCAAGATTGCTGCATAAACATTAAAAAAAAATGCAAGGGGATAGAGGAGATTTTGAAAGAGAGCAAACTCTTCTAAATAAGAAAAGTTCAATTATAAGTTGTCATTAGGGAAGATCCTTACTCTAGAACTTAATTCTGAACCAGAAATTAGACAGSTAGATAATTGGGTAGATAACTACTATTTAAGATATGATTAAGCTACTTKGGAAGCAACTGTCTGGTTGAGGGCAGCAGAACTTGGGAAGTGAGATATGAGAAGTCTGTAGCAGGCCATGACAGAAAACAGAAGTTTACCACAAGAGGTGATGASTAATCAGAGCAGATTTTCCTCTAAGTTACACATTGAGAGCTGGGATCCCATAGAGTTCATAGGGTCCTAGAATGCTTTGAGTTGGAGGGGACCTCAAAGATCTTTTGCTTTCAACCCTCCTGTCATAGGCAGGAACATCTTTCYCTAGATCAAGCTGCTCAAAGCCCCATYCAAMTTTGCCTTGGAACATTTCAAGGGATGGGGCACCCACAAMCTCTCTGGGCAGCCATTCTCACTGCTCTCACAGTAAAGAATCTCTTCTTTATAWCTAATTTAAACCTACCCTCTTTCAGTTTACAGCTGTACCCCCTTGTCCTGTGAGGTCCCTCTCCAGCTCCCCACCAGGCTGCCAGTAGGAAGGCTGTTCTGATGTCTCCCAGGAGCATTCTCTTCTCCAGGTTGAACAACCCGAACTCTCTAAGTCTGTCTTCATAGTACAGATGTTCCAGCCCTCTGATTGTCGCTGCTGGCCAAACAGCGACAGAAAAGAATAGATACAAAACACACAAAAGTGGGTGAAAAAACAGAAAGAAAGAAGGACTTTATTGTGGGACAAGCCTCTTTTATCTACTTTAGCAACCAGACTACACATTTGCGTCAAACATACATTGGTCAGTGAGGCTGTCACTTTCTACTCAACAGCACAGGATTGGTAGGTTTGCAAAAGCTACAGTATTAGTAATGCTTATAATTTTCAGCCACCTGCATTATCAATTCTGCATTCTAATCTGCTTTTCTCAAGGATGCGGCATTCCTCCTCCATGTAGGCTGTCAACACTCCTTTTCTTTTCCCAGGCCTCAGTCGTACACAATAATTGCCTGGGTTTCAGAATCCGGGCTTGTGGGGCCCCGTTCCCCCACACTCTGATCATCTTGGTGGTCCTCCTCTGGGTTTGCTCCAGCAGGTTCATATCCTCGTTATGTCGAGGACTTCAGATGCAGATGCAGCACTCCAGGTGTGTCTCACCCAAGCAGAGCAGAGCAGAGCAGAGCAGAGCAGAGCAGAGCAGAGCAGAGCACAAGGTAGCAAGCACCTTGCTTGCCCTGCTGGCCTCACTGCTTTGGCTGCAGTCCAGAAACCAAGCGCATCCTGGCTGTGTGCGAAAGGATGTGTTTGGTTTTCTGGGCTGCAAGTCCACCCTGCTTGTCATCCACCTACACTTCCAAGTCCTCTGCTGAGGCCTGCTGTTGATTCATTCTACACCCAGCCTGTTTATGTGCTTGGGATTGCCCTGGTCCAGTTGCAGGACCCTGTGCTCGGCCTTGTTGAATTCATGTGGTTTGTGCAGGCCCAGCTCTCAGCCTGTGCAGGTCCCTCTGGATCCCAGCCCTTCCCTCCTGACTGCACCTCAGAGCTCGGTGTTATGGGCAAATTCACTGAGGGTGTGCTCAGTCCCACTGTCCGTGTAGCCAACAAAAGTGTTAACCTCTCCCAGTCCCCGAGGAATGGCACCCATTGCTGCTCTCCACTGGGACATGGAGCCAATGGCTGCATTGTTTGAGTGTGACCATCCAGCCAAATCCTTATCCATTGTGGTTGGTCTGGGCCTCTCCAGTATGGAGATGAGGATGTTGTGTGGGATGGTGTCGTGTGCTTTGTTTGTACAAGTCCAGGTAGAGGCATCAGTGGCTCTTCCCTCATCCACCAATGTTCTCACCCATGTGGAAGGCCATCAAATCCGTCAGTGAATCCAAGTTGGCTGTTGCAAATCACCTCTTTACTTTCCATGTGCCTTGGCATAATTTCCAGGGGAATCTGGAAATTAACTTGCCAGGCACAGAGGGTGAGATTGACCAGCCTGTAGTTTCCCTGAATCTTCATTACTACCCTTTTTAAAAATCAGGGATACATTTCCCCTTTCCTGGAATTTTACCAGATAGACACAACCAATCCTGAGAGAGGCCAGAGTGGAACAGAGGATGACTTAGATGAAGAAATAATGCATGTAGAAGAGTGAATGTTGTMAGGATTTGCCAGGAGCCTTATCTATAAATGTAGTGTGCATTTAATGTAAAGGAAGAAAAGTGKAGAGATTGGGACAGCTGAAGCTGAAACCTGATACATAATTGAGGATGAAGACATTGCCAAAAAGGTGCAGCTGAAGATATGCTTTGAGTAAGTACCCAATTCCACACAGCAGCAAACTCG